TGCATATAAATATATATATATACACACACACACATTTTTCTAATTTCTTATTGTTTTATATTAAAACATTTTTAGTGTTCAATTTTACAATCTATTCTATTTTGTTGCATATTATTTAGGAAGGGTTGTAATCTCACATAGAAGAGAAATTAACACTGATATTGAGTATTGTTCATAATGTTTAATATTTGTATTTCTTGTGGTGAGAGGGGAAGAGAGGATACTACTTTTGTAGAAGTATCTTGTTGTTTATGGATGCTTAAAGATGCCATTTTAAAAAAAGAATTATTTTATTTAACTTTATTTATTTATTTAGTGAAACCAAGAAAGCAAACCACCATGTCCGGGAGTAGAATCATGGTCGGCTATGTGGGAGTCCAGCTCCCCCAACCACCATACCACCCATTGGCCCCTAAAGGTGTCATTTTTAAAAGAGATTCATATATATCTAGAACAATGTTTATAAATGCCGATTAGCCAAAGAAGTTAAATGTTCCAAATGTTTGTCTATCACCTTCAGTTGAAAAATCTACCTTTATAGCCTAACCTATGAGATGCTGGGATAAAATTATGCATATTTATATGTACAATATATGTTTCTTCTCTACCAGATAACTATTAATTTCTTTCAACAGGGACTCACTAGAATAAAATGGCAAATCAAAAAGGGAGAACAGACATGATTGAATAATCAAAATAAAATGTCAAATCAAAGAAAATTTAAAGCAGATACAAGAAGAACACAGAGGGATAATAAACATGAAAACATAAATAAACATTGTCTATCCAGGAGGAGTCTAAGAAATGCTGGAGATACTGAACTCCAATTTGTGGCTGGCTCTTACATGTAACTGTATGCTTTTACGTCTTTCCGTATTTATTTTAGGATTCAGGATGAGCACTCAAGTCAAATTCTAAATGTCTTTACTATAAGCTCCTTTTCAAAAAGAACTGATGATACCACAGCTTTCTTACAGCATCCTTCATCTCCATGTTTCTCAGTGTGTAGATCAGAGGGTTGAACATGGGGGCGATGATGGTATAGAAAAGAGCAAGCACTTTGTCTTCTGGGAAGGTTGTGGCAGGTCGGATGTAAATGAAAAGGACAGGCACAAAGAAGAGAACCACAACGGTTATGTGGGAACTGCAAGTTGAAAGAGCTCTGGTACGGCTCTCTGCAGGGTAAACCCTGATGGTGTATAATATTAGAAAATAAGACACCATCAAAACCACAAAAGTCGCCAAAGCAATCAGACCCGAATTCATAACGACCAAGAGACCAATTCTGTATGTGTCAGTGCAAGCCAGTTTCAGCAAAGGATACACATCACAGAAGTAATGATCTATCTCATTGGGGCCACAGAACGGTAAGAAGATGGTGAGAAGAAACTGGCTGGCAGAGTGTATAAACCCTCCGGTACAACAAGCTATGATGATTGTGTTACACTTTTGCTTGTTCATGATGATGGTATAGTGAAGCGGCTTGCAGATGGCCACATAGCGGTCATAGGCCATCCCTGTGAGGATGAAGATCTCAATGGCCCCAAGGAAGTGAAGGATGAAGAGCTGTATCATGCAGTTATTATAGGAAATGATCTTCCTTTCTGCCAGTAAATCAGTCATTAGTTTGGGTGTGACTGTGGATGTATAGCAAAGATCTGAGACTGAGAGATAATTAAGGAAGAAATACATGGGTTGGTCAATTAGCTGAGTGCATGTGATAGAGATCATTATGAGCAAGTTTCCCAAGCAAATCACAATGTAACAAAATAAAAATAACACAAAGCAGAGAACTTCAATGTTTTTGTTTTGAGAAAGACCCAGAAGAATAAACAGAGTAACATTATTCCTATTTTCCATGGTCCAGTACAATAAAAAATGCATAACAGCCACCTGAAAAAATATAATGCATAAGTCAATGCTGGAAATGTGATGAAGAATAATGATAATAATACTATGGTCATGCAGCTATGTCTAATAGCTATGCTTCCAAAGTTGCAGAAAATGAAAATCTGATAAGTAGTAGAAATGAATTTGCTGTTATTCTGATTAGTCTCTCATGAGTCAGACTTTCAAAACATTATTACATCTTGACATTAATGTGTCCAATCAATTAAACTGTTTAAAAATTATTATAGTTTCCAATCATCTCCCAATGTACAAGTAAGTCTTTAGAATGGACATAGATCTGGATCCTTACCAACTCTGTTAAAGATGCAAGTATATGTCACAATGATGCTTTGCAATATAAACTTTAACAGTGGTCACTGGTAAATATACCCTACCTCAAAATCATTTTAGAGTGAGGCAGAAAATAAAATTAAAGACTAATATTCAGTAGTTTTTCCTCATCTGAAAAGGATGTATTCCAACTCCCCAGTCAATGACAGAAATTTGGAATGGTATCAAATCCTATATATACCATGTTTTTTCCTATGCATAAATACCTATTATAAGGTTTAATTTATTTATAAAGTAGGCACAGTAGGAGATTAATAAAATAACAAATAAAAATAGAATAACTACAACAATATGCTGTAATGAAAGTTATGTGAATGTAATCTCTCTCTAAAAATATCAGACCACACTTGGGAACCAGCAGTTAGCGTAATGGCTATGTCGCTGGACTACCACATAGTCGACCGCGGTTCATGTCCCGGACCAGGTGGCTTAAAATTCATGCTGGGTGTGTGTGCGTGCATGCCCAAGATCCCGAGAGGAGAATGGAGGAGAAGGGATTGCGGCGTGACCATCCCCCCTGGGGGGTGATTTCTCGCTTTCTGTATCTGTGACTCTCTCTCTCTGTCTGGCGAGCGCATGAACCCTATAGTGAAAGACCTCTCCAAAGAAACAAAAAAATATCAGACAACACTTGAATTTTGGAAAGTTAGACCACAGATAAGGGAGGACTACTACTATAATCATATATATCTGTATCTATATCTATATATCTATTTACAAAATGAAAAATAAGAACTCTAAGCAAGAGGCTAATTGGTTTCAGTAATTTTTAATTTTTGGTTTACCTTTTCTTATCTGTGATTTGTGACAGTAAATACTGATATTACATAATAAAAATACATTTATTTTTATAGCCATTCATTTAAAATAATGTACTTAAATGAGTCACAGAAACAAGCAGTAGTGAAAACTAAAAGTTAAGAACAGAAGGCAATTTTACCTGGATTGTTTTATTCTTGGTTCAGTAACATGATCATATGTTGGAAGTACTTTTCTTCTTAGTGTTTTGAATTGAAGTCTGCATTTTCATTTTCTGTTTTGTCCAGTTTATGCCTTTTGCCAAAACAATAAGATCGTTAAACTCTATGATTCAAAGAAACAAAATTTTTGAAAGTTTGTGAGAAAAGTTTTATGTTTTTAAATAAACAGGTTTTTAAATCATATTAAATATCAATTTGTGTAATAATTACTTTATTTCTCTTAATTAAATTGATCTCATTTAAAAAATGGACAAACTGGCCTGGACATTGTCACAAAATTGTTGTGAAATACAAATACAATCAATAAGTGGGCAATATTTTATTAATGAGAGACTGATAATTTCTGAACTAACTATGTAAATGTTAGTGGTACCAAGTCATTACTATAACAGTTGTCAATGAGACAGTCAGTAATTTTTTTTGGGGGGGAGAGGTTTTCGCTATAGGACACGTATGCTCGCCAGACAGAGACATAGAGACAGAAAGCGAGAAATCACCCCCCGGGGGGATGGTCATGCCGCAATCCCTTCTCCTCCATTCTCCTCTCGGGATCTTGGGCACGCACACACACACACCTGGCGTGAGTTTTAAGCCACCGGGTCTGGGACGCGAACCGTGGTCGACTACGTGGGATTCCAGCAACATAGCCATTACGCTAACTGCTGTTTCCCACAGTCAGTAAATTTGACTCCCATGAAGAACATAAAACTTTATAGTCATTTAAGTAAGAAAAAAATTTGGAGATTTACTACTCAAATCTCCAAATAGTCAAGATTTTGATTAAGAGTACAATATAGAATAAATAATGTAATTTGGATATTTTCATCATTCAGCAAATATTAAAACTGACAGTATTTAATTAATGAAAAGTGAGGCAATGTATTTGGGGTTGACCAGAGCTTCTGCTAATTTAGTTCAAGTCTCAAAGCTGTTGGTAAAATAAGAGAATTATTAACTAAATAGTCCAATTTGACCCCAACATTACTTAATATTATCATCTTTGTTTAAAATTTGTGATGTATCCTGTGCAGTAATTTTGTAGCTATTTTAATCAATTCATTTCCTGCTCATTTCTTTTACAGATGAACTGTTTCACCTTCTAAGTAAAGAAAATATTGAAATCTAGTAAGATTCAAATCAGGGACTTCTGATTAATGCTTGTTTTTCTTTCTCTCTCTTCTGCCTCCTTGATGCTTGATTTTTTGATTTTGAGGAACATTTCATAGACTGTCTTCATAGTAAGCCAAAAACAGCATTATTCTTAGACTTTAAATTTGACTCCCTGGTATTCATGAGACCACTGTATGTGAAAGGCTATTTCTATCATTAGGGTCACTCCTGATAACACATATCTTTTTTGTTTTTCTTTTCTTTCTTTCTTTCTTTTATTTATTTTATTTTATTTTATTTTTTGCTATAGGGTATATGTGCTTACTAGAGAGAGAGAGAGGAATAGAGAGAGGGAGGATGGCCATGCTGCAATCCCTTCTCCTCCATTCTCCTCTCAGGATTTTGGTCAAGCATGCACATGTGCTCTGTACTTTTCATGCTGCTGGGGCCGGGACTTGAATCATGGTTAAACACGTGAAAGTTTAGTACCTTAACCACCATGCTACTGTTACCTTCAATTCCACTATTCCTTCCTTCCTTCCTTTCTTTTTTTTTTTAACCTGTTGACCGTGCATTTTATTTCTGGTTAATGGTAATGTTTGCCTTTGACATACATTTAGATTTATATGTAGGTTGCTATGGTGACAAACCCATGGGACATCATTTGCATTAATTCTGTGACTGGCATCCAATAAGGTTGTGCAGTGCAGGGCCCTGTAAAGCTGGAGGTAAATATAATGTTTTTTGAAAATGTTCACCAGAGACTGTACCTTTGACCAGTTTTCTCTGTAACCAACTAAAAAGAAAAATAAAAAAAGAGTGTGGGCTCTAATTGACCAAGACTATCATTATGTCATCCATAATATTTTGTAGTATATGGATTCTATAATGAATATGAAGAATTAGCAGAAGTTTAAATTCTGTCACCAACACCTCTCTATTTTTTTACCTCACTAGAAAACCAGGAACAGAGAGGGGCACATAACAATATATTGTCTCTCTAGTCATATTTCACTCACAGTAATGAATATAATTTGTTTTCCTTGAGTACAATTACTGAATCATTAGCAATGTTTCTTGTATTTTCAATTTATCTGTTAAATTTCTCATTTGATCATTTATTGTTTTCTTGGTTTTATTCAATTATTTCTCTGAATTCCATTAAATTTCACTGACTTTTTAAAAAGACTTATTTTATAATTCTTTTTCAGGCAGATTACACATCAGTTTGTTTCCCCCCCCCCTTTGGGTTGTTAACTGATTTTTTTTTTTTTTTGCTCTTTTTGTAATGTCAAGTTTCCTTGATTGTTCTTGATACTTGTGGCTGTGCGTTGCTCTCTGTGCTTTTGAAGGAATAAGCACTTCTTCCAGTCTTGGTAGAATGATTTTGTCTGGGTAACTCTTTACCATTTAATCCATCCAGAGATTCTGAGCAGGCTGTCCAGCATGGTCTTCCACTGAACTACTGGATCCTTAGGCAGGTTGACCTGGTGGTTGGGTCCACTGGAGTGGGTATGGGTCATGAATCCATGAGACTGATCTGTTGTTGTAGTGAACCTAGATTTTACATCTGTGAGAATAAGCCTAGGGTCTGGATCCATCTGGACTAGTTGAGAGCCTAGATCTGCATGGTCATTACTGAAGTACCACACTGTGGGAGCCAGTCTGATACTAGTGTCTGTAGGGTACTCCTGGAGTCTGGGTCTGCTGAAGTAGATCTGGACTCTGGGCCTACTGGAAATAACTTGAAGCCATGGCCTGCCTCGTGTTGAGGAAGGCATGGAACTAGTGTCTGAGGTGGTCTGTTTGGAACGTGGTATTCTGAGTGATGGTTTGAAGCTTGGAGCCTCAGTCGTTGATCCAGAGCCTGTGTACTGAGGGACTGTCCACACATTGGGGTCTATTGAGTTGGACCTGTGCTCTGGATTTATTGGAACAGGGTGCTCTGGAGATGGCCTGTAGGGTGAGACTGCAAGGACCAGCCTGGTACTGGGCAGATCTAGAGCTAGGTGTCAGTCTTATAGCAGGGGCCATTGAATTTGGGACAGGACTGAAACCTGGATATGTGGCACCAACTTAGTGATGGGAGCTGTTGCCATTCTGGGGACACTAGAACAAGACTGGTTCTAGAATGGACCTTGAAAACATGTCTGCTGAGCTGACTTGGAGCCTGGGGCTACAGCTCTAGCCTAGATAATATACTGAGATGATCTGAAGCATAAGACTACAGAATATAGCTCGATAGAGAGGTGGTCCTGGAGACTCATTCTAGGGGTATCAGGCTAGAGTCTGAGGCCGTGGGTCCAACCTAGGGCAGGGTTTCTCGGAGTAGGCAAAATGTTGGAGTCTGAAGGAAAACACGGTACTCACTTTTTTCTCCTTACCCCAGAGGGAGGGTGTCTCTGCAACTTGGGAGTGGGAAAAGGGTGACAGGTAATACAAAAATGTCTTTCTTGTCCTCTTCAAACTATCTTTCTTATATCTGCACTACACTTTGGCATTGTAACAATGCATAATATATGTGTATGTGCATGTGCATATAAATATATATATATACACACACACACATTTTTCTAATTTCTTATTGTTTTATATTAAAACATTTTTAGTGTTCAATTTTACAATCTATTCTATTTTGTTGCATATTATTTAGGAAGGGTTGTAATCTCACATAGAAGAGAAATTAACACTGATATTGAGTATTGTTCATAATGTTTAATATTTGTATTTCTTGTGGTGAGAGGGGAAGAGAGGATACTACTTTTGTAGAAGTATCTTGTTGTTTATGGATGCTTAAAGATGCCATTTTAAAAAAAGAATTATTTTATTTAACTTTATTTATTTATTTAGTGAAACCAAGAAAGCAAACCACCATGTCCGGGAGTAGAATCATGGTCGGCTATGTGGGAGTCCAGCTCCCCCAACCACCATACCACCCATTGGCCCCTAAAGGTGTCATTTTTAAAAGAGATTCATATATATCTAGAACAATGTTTATAAATGCCGATTAGCCAAAGAAGTTAAATGTTCCAAATGTTTGTCTATCACCTTCAGTTGAAAAATCTACCTTTATAGCCTAACCTATGAGATGCTGGGATAAAATTATGCATATTTATATGTACAATATATGTTTCTTCTCTACCAGATAACTATTAATTTCTTTCAACAGGGACTCACTAGAATAAAATGGCAAATCAAAAAGGGAGAACAGACATGATTGAATAATCAAAATAAAATGTCAAATCAAAGAAAATTTAAAGCAGATACAAGAAGAACACAGAGGGATAATAAACATGAAAACATAAATAAACATTGTCTATCCAGGAGGAGTCTAAGAAATGCTGGAGATACTGAACTCCAATTTGTGGCTGGCTCTTACATGTAACTGTATGCTTTTACGTCTTTCCGTATTTATTTTAGGATTCAGGATGAGCACTCAAGTCAAATTCTAAATGTCTTTACTATAAGCTCCTTTTCAAAAAGAACTGATGATACCACAGCTTTCTTACAGCATCCTTCATCTCCATGTTTCTCAGTGTGTAGATCAGAGGGTTGAACATGGGGGCGATGATGGTATAGAAAAGAGCAAGCACTTTGTCTTCTGGGAAGGTTGTGGCAGGTCGGATGTAAATGAAAAGGACAGGCACAAAGAAGAGAACCACAACGGTTATGTGGGAACTGCAAGTTGAAAGAGCTCTGGTACGGCTCTCTGCAGGGTAAACCCTGATGGTGTATAATATTAGAAAATAAGACACCATCAAAACCACAAAAGTCGCCAAAGCAATCAGACCCGAATTCATAACGACCAAGAGACCAATTCTGTATGTGTCAGTGCAAGCCAGTTTCAGCAAAGGATACACATCACAGAAGTAATGATCTATCTCATTGGGGCCACAGAACGGTAAGAAGATGGTGAGAAGAAACTGGCTGGCAGAGTGTATAAACCCTCCGGTACAACAAGCTATGATGATTGTGTTACACTTTTGCTTGTTCATGATGATGGTATAGTGAAGCGGCTTGCAGATGGCCACATAGCGGTCATAGGCCATCCCTGTGAGGATGAAGATCTCAATGGCCCCAAGGAAGTGAAGGATGAAGAGCTGTATCATGCAGTTATTATAGGAAATGATCTTCCTTTCTGCCAGTAAATCAGTCATTAGTTTGGGTGTGACTGTGGATGTATAGCAAAGATCTGAGACTGAGAGATAATTAAGGAAGAAATACATGGGTTGGTCAATTAGCTGAGTGCATGTGATAGAGATCATTATGAGCAAGTTTCCCAAGCAAATCACAATGTAACAAAATAAAAATAACACAAAGCAGAGAACTTCAATGTTTTTGTTTTGAGAAAGACCCAGAAGAATAAACAGAGTAACATTATTCCTATTTTCCATGGTCCAGTACAATAAAAAATGCATAACAGCCACCTGAAAAAATATAATGCATAAGTCAATGCTGGAAATGTGATGAAGAATAATGATAATAATACTATGGTCATGCAGCTATGTCTAATAGCTATGCTTCCAAAGTTGCAGAAAATGAAAATCTGATAAGTAGTAGAAATGAATTTGCTGTTATTCTGATTAGTCTCTCATGAGTCAGACTTTCAAAACATTATTACATCTTGACATTAATGTGTCCAATCAATTAAACTGTTTAAAAATTATTATAGTTTCCAATCATCTCCCAATGTACAAGTAAGTCTTTAGAATGGACATAGATCTGGATCCTTACCAACTCTGTTAAAGATGCAAGTATATGTCACAATGATGCTTTGCAATATAAACTTTAACAGTGGTCACTGGTAAATATACCCTACCTCAAAATCATTTTAGAGTGAGGCAGAAAATAAAATTAAAGACTAATATTCAGTAGTTTTTCCTCATCTGAAAAGGATGTATTCCAACTCCCCAGTCAATGACAGAAATTTGGAATGGTATCAAATCCTATATATACCATGTTTTTTCCTATGCATAAATACCTATTATAAGGTTTAATTTATTTATAAAGTAGGCACAGTAGGAGATTAATAAAATAACAAATAAAAATAGAATAACTACAACAATATGCTGTAATGAAAGTTATGTGAATGTAATCTCTCTCTAAAAATATCAGACCACACTTGGGAACCAGCAGTTAGCGTAATGGCTATGTCGCTGGACTACCACATAGTCGACCGCGGTTCATGTCCCGGACCAGGTGGCTTAAAATTCATGCTGGGTGTGTGTGCGTGCATGCCCAAGATCCCGAGAGGAGAATGGAGGAGAAGGGATTGCGGCGTGACCATCCCCCCTGGGGGGTGATTTCTCGCTTTCTGTATCTGTGACTCTCTCTCTCTGTCTGGCGAGCGCATGAACCCTATAGTGAAAGACCTCTCCAAAGAAACAAAAAAATATCAGACAACACTTGAATTTTGGAAAGTTAGACCACAGATAAGGGAGGACTACTACTATAATCATATATATCTGTATCTATATCTATATATCTATTTACAAAATGAAAAATAAGAACTCTAAGCAAGAGGCTAATTGGTTTCAGTAATTTTTAATTTTTGGTTTACCTTTTCTTATCTGTGATTTGTGACAGTAAATACTGATATTACATAATAAAAATACATTTATTTTTATAGCCATTCATTTAAAATAATGTACTTAAATGAGTCACAGAAACAAGCAGTAGTGAAAACTAAAAGTTAAGAACAGAAGGCAATTTTACCTGGATTGTTTTATTCTTGGTTCAGTAACATGATCATATGTTGGAAGTACTTTTCTTCTTAGTGTTTTGAATTGAAGTCTGCATTTTCATTTTCTGTTTTGTCCAGTTTATGCCTTTTGCCAAAACAATAAGATCGTTAAACTCTATGATTCAAAGAAACAAAATTTTTGAAAGTTTGTGAGAAAAGTTTTATGTTTTTAAATAAACAGGTTTTTAAATCATATTAAATATCAATTTGTGTAATAATTACTTTATTTCTCTTAATTAAATTGATCTCATTTAAAAAATGGACAAACTGGCCTGGACATTGTCACAAAATTGTTGTGAAATACAAATACAATCAATAAGTGGGCAATATTTTATTAATGAGAGACTGATAATTTCTGAACTAACTATGTAAATGTTAGTGGTACCAAGTCATTACTATAACAGTTGTCAATGAGACAGTCAGTAATTTTTTTTTGGGGGGAGAGGGTTTCGCTATAGGACACGTATGCTCGCCAGACAGAGACATAGAGACAGAAAGCGAGAAATCACCCCCCGGGGGGATGGTCATGCCGCAATCCCTTCTCCTCCATTCTCCTCTCGGGATCTTGGGCACGCACACACACACACCTGGCGTGAGTTTTAAGCCACCGGGTCTGGGACGCGAACCGTGGTCGACTACGTGGGATTCCAGCAACATAGCCATTACGCTAACTGCTGTTTCCCACAGTCAGTAAATTTGACTCCCATGAAGAACATAAAACTTTATAGTCATTTAAGTAAGAAAAAAATTTGGAGATTTACTACTCAAATCTCCAAATAGTCAAGATTTTGATTAAGAGTACAATATAGAATAAATAATGTAATTTGGATATTTTCATCATTCAGCAAATATTAAAACTGACAGTATTTAATTAATGAAAAGTGAGGCAATGTATTTGGGGTTGACCAGAGCTTCTGCTAATTTAGTTCAAGTCTCAAAGCTGTTGGTAAAATAAGAGAATTATTAACTAAATAGTCCAATTTGACCCCAACATTACTTAATATTATCATCTTTGTTTAAAATTTGTGATGTATCCTGTGCAGTAATTTTGTAGCTAATTTAATCCATTTATTTCCTGCTCATTTCTTTTATAGATTAACTGTGTCACCTTCTATGTAAAAAAAAAATGAAATAAAAATAAAAACGGAATGAATGCAATCTTAAGGTTTAGAATTAGCTTGTTGACAAACATTAAAAAGCAATTGTCCTTAGCGTGCTTCCAATAATACGTGAAAATATTTCCTTACCTCTAAATAATAAAGTCTACTTTTTATTTTAAAATAATACTTAAGGTATTAGTTTAGAAAAGTCAAAGTAATTAAGAAAAAAATAAATTCATTATTGTAATCATGTGCTTTAGTTATTTTTTAAAAATTTTTTTGGAGAGGTTTTCGCTCACCAGAAAGACAGAGAGAGACAGAGAGACAGAAAGCAAGCGAGAAATCACCCCCCCAGGGGGGATGGCCACACCGCAATCCCTTCTCCTCCATTCTCCCCTCGGGATCTTGGGTACGTACACACATGCACCTGGTGTGAGTTTTAAGCCACCGGGTCCGGGACGCGAACCGTGGTCGACTACATGGGAGTCCAGCGACATAGGCATTACGCTAACTGCTGGTCCCTAGTTATTTTTCACATAAACTGAAATATATATAGTCCAGACATGAAATGAAGCCTCTCAATAAACTAAGGTTGTTAGAATATTCAGGCAAAGCCAAACTATTATTCTGCCTTTACTGATTAATGTAATTTTTCTACTAACTATATATAGTCTAAGGCAAACTGTGTTCTTAAATTCATGTTAGATTCTCTAATTGTCATCTTCTCAAGGCTATGTATAAGGCTATATTTAACTTTTTGGCATTTATCCCTTTTTATTTAAACTTCCCCATACACTTGTTCATCATATAAAAAGATGTGTGGTTCCTATTCTCAACTCTGTCATCAATTTTCAACGTGAAATCATTTTATTTCCTTCATTGCTCCAATGTTTAAGACATAATTTCTCCCCATATGAATCAGAGGTTTTTAAATTTCAAATTTAAAGGTAAAGTTGCAAAATAAAGATAAAAAAGAGATAACATAGCAAAATAAAAAAATAACACAAAGCAGAGAACTTCAATGTTTTTGTTTTGAGAAAGACCCAGGAGAATAAACTAGAGAACAAAAGTGGGATAACAAATAAACTCAAACTCTCTGAGTTTCCAAAATATAGGTAATGAATAAGACTTGCATCCTCAACCATTTTCTATTTTCTACAAATATAGCCCTCTTGTAGAGTAAGACAGTTACAGTTCCTGTCCCTAAGTAAAATATACTATGTCTCCTTATACTCTCTAAGTGAGTGAGGCTATTTTAGGCACAAAAATCCCCATGTAAGAATAATGAACCAGGGGAAAAAAAGATAATGATCTGCTCTCTAGGACAGCTCTTCAGTCACTTTTGGAATATGTATTCACTTGTTCTGGATCCATAACTCTAACAATCATTATAACAAAGAAATAAAGAGAGATCATGTAAACACAGCTCAAGTGGAGAGATCATTTACTTGACATTTTGAAGGCTTGTCCAACTCTCTGATTAATTCCTGGGCCACCCTTTCCTTTTTAAATTTTTGTTTTCTTTGGAGGAGTAGAGAACAATGATTATCACCAGGAGAGATCTTTAATGTTTTTCAATTTGATTTTTCTCATTTTATTGGTAATCTGTGAATCAATATTATCTTAATCAGTACTTTGCTTATTTTCTACCAAAAATTCTAATACTCCTTATCCCTTATTTAAAATTTACTATCTAGCTAAGCATTATTTCCATGTCACTGTCTTTGTATCCTTCCAGAACATAATCACAATTTACCCTCAATGGACAACTTCTTGAATTTCTTGTTACTTAATCACAAAACTAATTAGTCTAACATATTCAGAGAGTATGCCTGTATTTCATTTTAACTGACAGTCAATCTGTTATTTATGCAGTGGAGACAAAAATATACTCAGTAGATATTACACATTCTGGAAGGAATCATAACTCACCACACCTGCTCTTCTGCTTCAGTGGCTTAGAATCCATTCTTACTTCTTTTCCAGTATTTTCGTTCTTTCCTTATTTAACTTGGTCATACTTATAATGTTTAGATTACTTCACTTAAGCTTCTTAAAGTCCCATTTTTACTCAACATAGTTCATAAATTGTTTATAAGAAAAATTCTGTATCATTTTAGAGACAACTGACATCTGTCACTCATCCAATGTTCATACAAATAATAAGAGGTCACATACTCAGAGCAACAGTTGGAAAGCAGTGGAATAATATGATAGCCAAATGAGTCAAATAACTATATTACCATCAATAAATTATTTCTAGAGATAATAATGCTATTATTAAGTACTTAATTAAATATAAATTTAGAATAGCTATTTCTTCACTCTAGAACATTGACAATTCCTCATATGTTGCTTGGATTTACTTTCCCAAATGTTAAACACACCATGCACATTTATTTAAATCTGTTAGCAAGGTCCTGCTACAACTAGTATAGAATTTGGATTATAAATAGTATGCAAGCTATTATTAGCTTTGTTTGTGGTTTGGGAATCTCAGTTATTACACATCCTCCTGCCCCCTAATGGCTGCATTCCCCTGCATTTCATG